GTCCCAGCGTGCATTTTTGGTTGCTGGGCCTCCAGTGCGTCCCTGCACCTTATTAGGAGGAGTTGGCTACCTCCAGGTACACCTGCATGTAATTTATCAACTTCATTAATATGCTCACACTTGGAGACTCGGATACATAGAGTTAGGACCACACTTTGCAGAGGTGCCTTGGCGCGGCAGTGTGGCTTCTACATATTTTTGGCCAAAAGTTTGTGCAACTAAAACCTCTGATTTTAACGCATACTGTTGACAGGGCTACTTGTTTGGTTGCAGGCTGGCTGGCAGGTTGAGGCTGGGGAATTTTTGTGTTTTGTATTGTTGTAAGCCTTCCCAATGTGCGCCCTGCTATAAAGGCCGGTTATAGATTCATGCATGTACCATTTTTTCTAGTTTGACTATTTTGGGTTAGGGGGACGCACTGGAGTCCCAGCGTGCATTTTTGGTTGCTGGGCCTCCAGTGCGTCCCTGCACCTTATTAGGAGGAGTTGGCTACCTCCAGGTACACCTGCATGTAATTTATCAACTTCATTAATATGCTCACACTTGGAGACTCGGATACATAGAGTTAGGACCACACTTTGCAGAGGTGCCTTGGCGCGGCAGTGTGGCTTCTACATATTTTTGGCCAAAAGTTTGTGCAACTAAAACCTCTGATTTTAACGCATACTGTTGACAGGGCTACTTGTTTGGTTGCAGGCTGGCTGGCAGGTTGAGGCTGGGGAATTTTTGTGTTTTGTATTGTTGTAAGCCTTCCCAATGTGCGCCCTGCTATAAAGGCTGGTTATAGATTCATGCATGTACCATTTTTTCTAGTTTGACTATTTTGGGTTAGGGGGACGCACTGGAGTCCCAGCGTGCATTTTTGGTTGCTGGGCCTCCAGTGCGTCCCTGCACCTTATTAGGAGGAGTTGGCTACCTCCAGGTACACCTGCATGTAATTTATCAACTTCATTAATATGCTCACACTTGGAGACTCGGATACATAGAGTTAGGACCACACTTTGCAGAGGTGCCTTGGCGCGGCAGTGTGGCTTCTACATATTTTTGGCCAAAAGTTTGTGCAACTAAAACCTCTGATTTTAACGCATACTGTTGACAGGGCTACTTGTTTGGTTGCAGGCTGGCTGGCAGGTTGAGGCTGGGGAATTTTTGTGTTTTGTATTGTTGTAAGCCTTCCCAATGTGCGCCCTGCTATAAAGGCCGGTTATAGATTCATGCATGTACCATTTTTTCTAGTTTGACTATTTTGGGTTAGGGGGACGCACTGGAGTCCCAGCGTGCATTTTTGGTTGCTGGGCCTCCAGTGCGTCCCTGCACCTTATTAGGAGGAGTTGGCTACCTCCAGGTACACCTGCATGTAATTTATCAACTTCATTAATATGCTCACACTTGGAGACTCGGATACATAGAGTTAGGACCACACTTTGCAGAGGTGCCTTGGCGCGGCAGTGTGGCTTCTACATATTTTTGGCCAAAAGTTTGTGCAACTAAAACCTCTGATTTTAACGCATACTGTTGACAGGGCTACTTGTTTGGTTGCAGGCTGGCTGGCAGGTTGAGGCTGGGGAATTTTTGTGTTTTGTATTGTTGTAAGCCTTCCCAATGTGCGCCCTGCTATAAAGGCCGGTTATAGATTCATGCATGTACCATTTTTTTTAGTTTGACTATTTTGGGTTAGGGGGACGCACTGGAGTCCCAGCGTGCATTTTTGGTTGCTGGGCCTCCAGTGCGTCCCTGCACCTTATTAGGAGGAGTTGGCTACCTCCAGGTACACCTGCATGTAATTTATCAACTTCATTAATATGCTCACACTTGGAGACTCGGATACATAGAGTTAGGACCACACTTTGCAGAGGTGCCTTGGCGCGGCAGTGTGGCTTCTACATATTTTTGGCCAAAAGTTTGTGCAACTAAAACCTCTGATTTTAACGCATACTGTTGACAGGGCTACTTGTTTGGTTGCAGGCTGGCTGGCAGGTTGAGGCTGGGGAATTTTTGTGTTTTGTATTGTTGTAAGCCTTCCCAATGTGCGCCCTGCTATAAAGGCCGGTTATAGATTCATGCATGTACCATTTTTTTCTAGTTTGACTATTTTGGGTTAGGGGGACGCACTGGAGTCCCAGCGTGCATTTTTGGTTGCTGGGCCTCCAGTGCGTCCCTGCACCTTATTAGGAGGAGTTGGCTACCTCCAGGTACACCTGCATGTAATTTATCAACTTCATTAATATGCTCACACTTGGAGACTCGGATACATAGAGTTAGGACCACACTTTGCAGAGGTGCCTTGGCGCGGCAGTGTGGCTTCTACATATTTTTGGCCAAAAGTTTGTGCAACTAAAACCTCTGATTTTAATGCATACTGTTGACAGGGTAATTTGTTTGGTTGCAGGCTGGCTGGCTGGCAGGTTGAGGCTGGGGAATTTTTGTGTTTTGTATTGTTGTAAGCCTTCCCAATGTGCGCCCTGCTATAAAGGCTGATTATAGATACATCCATGTACCATCTTTTCTAGTATGTCTTTACCCGCTGCCCGGCTTCCTGATTGCCCGGGAAGCTGGCTCCATACCAGCAGAAACACCGGTATCGGCAAGTACCAAAAGCAAAATATCGGTACTCGATACTGAAAAAATGGTATCTGTATATTCTTAATCTGATGCATGATGAGCTTTTATTGAATAACTCAAGGAGATAGGGGACAGGACACCCTGTATGTTGTAGAGTCTAATAATAAAAAACACAAAGTACTTGAATCCGTCACACATGGAAGATCTGTAAGACGATCCATCATTCTGTGCCTTCAGTTACTGACTGTAGAATACTTGAGGATATAGCTAGCTACCAGTCCATTTAATGAAGAGTTTACCATGCTCCAGCAGAGGACAAGTTTCTCTGGCTCCTCATGCATGCTGTAGTTGTTATCTTCCTCAAACTTTGCTCATTGATCCTAAGTCCCAGGCCTTTTTTTATTTTATTTTTTGCTACAAATGTATACTTGTAGTATAAATATGTAGTTGATGTCTTATTTATATAGTGCTGGTATTCTTCCACATCACCTAAAGTATAACTAAGAGCTCCTGTATGACAATCTAAACAAGTACCAAATCCAGTTACTAAGTGATGCATAAGCCTCATAAAGGAAACAAACTTTTCTTTACCTTCACTGACTGTGCCAAATCCTCCTTCATTTGTGTCTCACATGCTTCCCTGTCCCAGACACTGCAGCTCACTTTCCACCATCCCTGTACTGTTTCTGACTCTAACCACCTGCTGTGCCCATTATAGAGGGTTTCCACCATCCCTGTGCTACGTTTCTGACACTAAATGCCTGCTGTGCACATTATCAGGGGCTCCCACCATCCCTAAACTGGGTTCCTGGGTATGTACTCCTGCTCTACCCATTATGAGGGGTTCCCACCATCCCTGAGGAAGGTCCCTTGGTCTGCACACTGGCTGTGCCCATTATAAGAGGTTCCCACCATCCCTAAGCTGAGTTCCTGGGTCTGTACACCTGCTGTGATCATTATAGGAAGTTCCAACCATCCCTGAGCTGCGTTCCTGGGTCTATACATCTGCTGTGCTCATTATAAGAAATTCCCACCATCCCTGAGGTGAGTTCCTGGGTCTATACATCTGCTGTGCTCATTATAAGAAATTCCCACCATCCCTGAGGTGAGTTCCTGGGTCTATACATCTGCTGTGCTCATTATAAGAAATTCCCACCATCCCTGAGGTGAGTTCCTGGGTCTGTACACCGGCTGTGCTCATTATAAGAGGTTCCCACCATCCCTGAGCTGAGTTCCTGGGTCTGTACACCGGCTGTGCTCATTATAAGAGGTTCCCACCATCCCTGAGCTGGGTCTGCTGGATTTTTCTTTTTTTTTTAAATATTACCCAGAATGTGACAGGAGGAGAACACACAAAGGTGGACGTGGACACCCAAAACTTCACTTTTGGATGGACTGACTTTAAGTAATAATAAATAAGACATTCCAGCAAAACAAGATCTAAGTGGCTCCCAGTGATAGAGCTCATTCAGAGAGCACAGCATGTATGTTACTGGATCACTGTGCATCCTGGGGTCAATGTAAAATGAATGGTAATGCAAAGGGCTCATTCACATGTTGCTTGTGTTGATACTAAGGATGTGCGATGGTTTGGTTCAAGTTCCCATTCCTCTGTGTTCCCCCGACATTTGTTGGCAGTGCACTCATTATTCGGCATGATGACGCCCATTGCACGGTCTGAATACATTTTCAATGGGCCAAAAACATGCGTCAATGGACCAGAAGACACATGGCAATTTTTTTTGCAACATAATTGTCCAACAATATTTCTTGTTGAGTTCATTTGGGTGTGCGCCCCATAACGCATACAACACATTGTTGAAACAGGCGCAAAACAGTGTAAATGAGCCCTAAGACTAGAGGGGGTGTCTCCAAACTATGACCCGTGGGCCACATGTGGCATGCTACAGGATACTGAAGCTTGGCCCAGTCAGAGATTCCTTCATCATCAGAGTTTAACGTAGATGGAGGAATCTGTTGCACTTTTTCCATCTGACCATAAAAAATTGTCAGATAATCTATAGGTGTATGGCCAGCTTACCCCCTAATGCTGAATGAGCCCGCCATCTGGGTGTGGTAATGATCTGCCCCAGGTGAGGGTATTAGTGGCTGCTGGGAGGGGTATAAATGGTAACTCTCTCTAACTCACTCCTTATGCTGTTCCTCTTGCAGACAGGATGGGCTTAAGGGTTAGGAGCTGGATGTTGCTGCTTGCACTGGTTTATGGGCCAGGTTTTGGCTGTGCTGGAGATGGTGTCCTAGCTAGACAAAGTCGCCAGTCAGATTGGTGGAGGAACTACCAGCAGGCTGTGCCTGCCCAGGTTCCTTCTAGATGGGGTTCCAGAGAGCTTTATCGGGGCAGTAATGCGCCTGTGCTTGGGTTTGGGGCTTCCAGAGCTGGGGCTCAGTGGGGTTTATCTGCTGGGCATCCAGCTGGGATGCTCCGACAGCAACTACAGACTAGAAGTTCCCCTATTAGCGTCCAGTGTGGAGAGGACACCATAGAGGTCAGTGTCCAGAGGGATTTGTATGGGAATGGAAAGCTAGTGAAACCTTCCGATCTGAGCCTGGGAGCCCAAGGATGCAAGCCAAGCACCCAAAGTACTGACAACATGGTCATCTTCCAGATTAGCCTCCAGGACTGTGGCAACACTGCTCAGGTAACTTTGCACTTCATATGCTTTCTTTAAAGTTCTGTATTGTATGTGTTCCAGTAACTTCAGTGATACCTATAGCAACAACTAGATTTTAACTTTTTTTGTGGGTTTAGTAAACTGAAACCTGCTCCCTATGGGTTCTTTGACTTTGTAGGGTTTAAAGACTATCTCATGTTCACTGAGATGAGCCCAGACCCGATTCTCAATGATTGCCCTGTTCCTGAATTCTGCCCTGGTTCTCTGAATATATATCAAATGGGGAATATGTTTACACTTCCTTGACCATAAGGGAAAGAGTCCAAAAACCACAATACAATTGCTTTGAAGCATTGCACACAGGCTTTAGCTTTTGAGAGCCTTGCAAACCGTAAGCTTCAAGCAACTTCCTAAAGCACCCCCCGTTCCACAGAACTGGAGTGCTGACTCCCTTTTAAGCAAGCAGGTATATTGTATTCCCTTGCTGTGTGCTCGTTTTGGTCATTGATTACTTGAGTTGATGACCCTGCCAGGCAACTAGGCTTCTTACTGGTCCCAGGGCCAGATCAACATGTGGGTGAAGCTCCCGCTCCAGGCTTAACACTGCGAATAGGCCGAGCTGACACGGGAGTCGTGGCTGAGATGACAGTCACGGCCTGGCCAAGTTCCATGGATTGCGGTCGGGCCGAGCAAACCAGGCAGCTGCGGCCCTCTAGTCAGGCATATCAGAGGGGCCCCCAGAGCAGTCGCCAGTAATTTGGCGTCAGTGGCAGATCTGCCAGGGTCGCAGCTGCAACTGGACCCTGGCGCTTCACCACTCACTCAAAGCTGTAGAGACTAGAAATCACAGCCTGGACAGGAGGAAGAGGACCCCGGTGACATCACCATTTCCATAAAAAGGCCCACCATAATACTAAGCACCAGGCACATGATCTTAATCCGGCCCTGAATGGACCCATAATGGCAGCCCTTTGTATTTACCCAGTACAAGGAAACTCTCAACCATTAACTTATAATGTGACGGCTTCACCTGATCTAAAGGGGCTAGTGTTTTCAAATGTGTTACACCGTGCAGGTTGTGGGGTTACAGACTCTGGTTCTGTCTTCTGCTCAGGTCACTGCAGTCCCTCAGCATTTACTATCATGGTGGCTGACCCACTCGCAGGCTTTTTAGATCATGTGGTGATCCTCTTGTTGGTTATGTATTTAGATGAAGCACTGAGATCTTGTAATGTAGACCTGGCAGCCAGCTGTTGCTGTTAATAGCTCCTGTTACAGGAATGCTCCAAACTGCAGAACTAAATCGCTGTCATTGTATTGAGCAGCCCTGATCCATGGCATCAGAGTCCTAACTGGCAAGAGTGGTTACCTGCACTCTGATCTTTGGGCACCATAGCTCTTGGAGAGCAAAGATTAGCAATCCAGGTTGGGTGGGACAAGAAAGCAGAAGGTATTTTCAACACGGCAACCACCAGAGTATTGGATGAAGAGGGTCCTGTGAGCAGGCCCAGATTTCCCACAAGGCCACCGAGTCCCGGCCTCGGGGCGGCAGAGCGGCGGCAGCGGTGACCTTGTGGGGAAGTTGCGGGCGCCGGTGTCCGGCGGCAAAGGGGGGGGGCGTATTGTGGAACTTGGCCTTGGGGCAGCAGGGGGAGTAAATCCGGCCCTGCCTGTGAGCACTGTTAAAAGTGGTTAACAGTGTGAGGAGCAGGACAGTGAGGAGCAGGACAGGTAGTATTTCGGGGAAATATTTTGCTAGATTTTGAGTCTGGTGCTTGAATTGGGAACCATGGCTTTTAGACGTGTGGGGGTTTTCTTGGGTCTTGTCTTCAACCAATGGTAGCTGTTTAATGAAACCCTGTTGCTTGATTCTTCAGCATAAGATCTATTAACCTCTTTGGCACGTTTACCTGTTGGAGCTTCTCTTGTTTAGACATCCAATAGCCCTTAGTGCTGCCACCTTGGATATGTCAGCTGCTCCTGCTGACTTGCAGTTATCACTTAAAATACAATCCATAGTATTTTTTCACTGTGATCTTTTTTTTTTTTTTTTTTTTTATACTATCGGTGAGTCTACACAAGGTGGGACAGGGCAGATCTAACGGTCCCCTACTCGTTCCAAATGTTTTTAGTGTTAAGGATCTAGTCAGGTTTTCTGCTGTTTGTCCTATTCTAGAGTTATTTTCTCATCCTGCTCTAAACTCAAGTGAGTACTTTCCAATTGAGTATATCCCCCATGTCACTGGAACAAGTGCCCATTATGCGACAACTTGGGTTAATGGCTTTCCTTCACTCAGGCCTAGTGAGTTGCTACTAATCCTATCAAGAACACTGATGGAAAGTGTTACCTGGCAGAGGTTCTAACATTCTACTTTCACAAACTGGTGGCCCATCTTAAGTTTGAGGTAGTATCATGAATTTTTAAGTTGCCACAATGATGCACATTATAATACTGTCTTAAAACCACCCTGGGGAAAATATTGTAGGTGCTATGCATACTCAAATTTTGAGGTACAGGCTTCAGATATTTTCGGAGTCCTTGTCAGGTATCAAGAATGGAGCCAGTGTAGACTGGCATCATTCATGCTAGCTTCAAGTCAATTAACTGATGGAAAATGCAGTTCTGACCAGGCATGCAACCAATTAACAATGACAACTACCATACTAATAAACCATTTTCCCTTCAAGATGGAACTTGCCTTAAAAAGGAAATATAGATCTGTGAAATTGCATGATTATAGCTCATGACTTATTACTGACTCTTTTCTCTGTATAGGCATGGTAATGTGAGCAGCAAGGCCATTAAGCCAACATGGCTTCCATTCAGCACCACAGTGTCCTCAGAAGAGAGGCTGTCCTTTTCTTTGCACGTGATGGCTGGTGAGTTAAATGAGGCAGATGGAAGGGGGGGGATGGGAGTCAGTTGGAACTTAATAATTTTTGTTATGCCTGCAGAGGACTGGAGTGGCCCCAGAAGTTCTTCAGTGTTTCAGTTGGGAGATATTCTCTACATAGAGGCCTCTGTGGACACTCAGAACCATATTGGCCTGATCCTGTACATTGACCGATGTGTGGCCACCATATCGCCTGATGCCAGCTCTTCTCCTAATTATGACATCATTACAGACCATGGGTATGTAGGGAAAGGGTCATGGCTCTAATAAAACCCTGGGGCTCCAATCACCCCACTTTCTAACTGACAATCTCTACAGGTGTCTGGTAGATGGAATGCAAGAGGACTCCTCTGCAGCCTTTGTGATTCCAAGGGTCAAACCAGACAACCTACGGTTCACAGTAGATGTCTTCCGATTCCTAGGAAATGATGCATCTATGGTGAGGATTTGAGTTGGTTGCAACAGATGGGATGCCTTGTAAGAACTGATAACCTATTAAAATCTTTCCTTTCAGATCTACATAACCTGTTTCCTGAGAGCTGCTGCAGCCACACAGATCCCAGATTCCATGAACAAGGCCTGTTCCTATAGCAAAGCCACAAATGGGTAAGACTGTATTAAAATGGTGTTATTGTGCCCATCGGTTATTGTATTTACTGCATCATAGCCACTGCATTAAGACTACATCTGTGTAATGGAGTAACCTTCTGCACAAGAGCTGTCGGAAACCATGACTTTATGAAACAATAACATGATTTTTCCTAAAGCTAATGGTGTTAAACAACTGTAAATATTGATTAGTGTAATGCTGCACATGTAGCCTCTGCTGTCTCCCAGAGTCTTTCCTATACCATGTACACTGGGTAGGATGTTTCTTTCTAGACAGCCATGTAACCAGTCACACCTGCGTGCCTCTGGTACCAGCATATTCAGTATTATGGGTGTGGTGCCTTGCATTTGTTGCTTGGTCCGAGACGGGACACCTTTTGGTGTTGGCTACATATTCCTACCAGGGTGATCAGAGCTCCCCTGTAAAAGAATAAGCTGTGCAGAAACCTGGTATCCTGTCACTCAAGCACCTAATCTTTCCCAAACATTATAGTGAGCCTAAGTAAACTAAATTAGGTCACATGATCACTGCTTAGAGCGCCACCAGTTAGGAAAGTAAAACATTAAAGCCCAATTGTGTTCTTCCTGCACATAAAACACAGTTCAGTCCACACTGGAATGCTTGAATGCCTGTCTTAATAGAAGGATGTAGCCTCAGATGTGCCTCTTGCTTGGCACATGTAACTACCTCTAGTGCACTATTTAATCTACTAGGAATGAGCTAAATTCTTTCACTTTCATGACAAAGTAAAATGTCATGACACTTTACATTTTTGTTAAAAGCCACACAGCTGTAATGTACGTTCTTAAAATCTAGGCTGTGATACTGACAATTGCTTGTCTTCACTAGCTGGTCTGCAGTTGAGGGCCCCAGCGATATCTGCCAGTGTTGTCAGACAACAGGCACCTGCAGCAACCCTAATCTGATGACCGGAGGAAGGACCAGATTTGGAAGACCGAGAGCATTTGTCAAGAGGGAAGCCTTGGATGGTGAGTTTTTATAACCTACAGCTGGCATTTTGAAAGCAATAGCTGTAGGTGATCCACACATGAACAGATCTGAGGGACAAGGGTAGCACTGAGGGCAAAGCTAACAACCCAATGGCTGCTTTGTGCTCCCAGTGGTAAGTCTCTTGCCACATAATCGGACTAGTAATGGAGATCTCAAAATGCTTGTGTACTAAAAACCTGAAAGGGGGTTGTAACATCCCCCTTCCCTATTCTAATCGACTCTTGGTTCATGTGACTAGGTCTATAATGGGTTTTAACTTTCTACACTATTGAAGTAAATGTTGACTTGCCTAATCTCTTAATTGCATGGAAGTGTACAGAAATATGTGCTTCTTGACCCCCAATGTCTTCTCCTGCAGAACCCCACATAGAAGGTGGACAAAGTGTGACTATTCTAGGACCTCTGCTTGTGATTGGGCCAAAACAAAGCGATGTTGCACTTCAAATGACAAAGGAAGAGTCTGCCCCTGTGGAGCTCTGGGTGTTGGTGGCCGTTGGATGTGTCAGTCTTCTTGTTGTCCTTGTATGTGCAGTGTCCATTGGGAAGTCTCTGGCAAAGCCACACAATGTGCTGTCTGTGGAAAAATAAAAGCAATTCTCATTTAATCTGGTCTCCCTTATTTATAGATGGTATAACTTTCTTGCTGTTTCCTGTAACATGGGGGGTTTACTGAGGGATCTGTGTATGTCAGGTTATTTATAACAAAATATTTATTGAAAGGAAACATTACACTTGTTAATGGGGACAGAACTTGAGGCGTTTGCTATATCTTATAGAAACCCAAGTGTAATATGAAACTTATCAAATGATTATGATATTTTGCTGTCCCTGTGACATGATTGTGTGACTTGCCCTAGTGTCACAGGGTAGAGAAATTCTCATTCCCAGTGGCAGTCTATGTTGCAAATAAAATCACATACTAATTACAGCTCTGAGTATCAGTAATACAAATCTCTTGAACAATAGGTGGTGCAATGTTGGTCTCTGTGCATGTTTGTCTGATATGTTTACTGTTAATGCTGTATTCCTGAGGCTAGAAATGTCAGGAAATGCGTGAACATATGAATGCCATGCTGGAAATGGTAGAACTACATGCAATTGGAGAGAAGCCTTTCAGTCAGTGTTCTTATTAGCACTCTAGAAACCAGACCTGACCATGAACTAACTGTAGAATACACTAAGGAAAATTATCAAATATGATGGAAGGGAAATATGCATAATGGAAAACTAGCACCCTCAAGGTGCATGAGAGCGTACAGCAAAACAAAGAAAGCAGTTTTTGCTGTAAAAGGACTGGCAAATCGGTAAGAGTGTAATAACTCACCATCCAGCTTCCTGATTGGTTGGGAAGCTGGCCAAGCAGCAAGTCATTACTAGCCAGTGCTGCCATCCACATTCCTGATATTGGCTTTTTACTTCAATGAGAACTCCTCACCAGAAACCATGATCTTGGGAAGGGAATTCACCCCATGAACCAGCAAAGGAAGCTGAGCAAAGTGAAGTCTGAACAAGGGGTGGAACTCTCAATGGATAATTCAAGTTCCATGTTAAAATCTGCTGACCTTAAAATTACGGGATCCACTCGGGCAACAAAGAGAATACTACCCTGCAAGCTGTCAAATACTGGTAAGGCACATGGCATACTTAAATCAACATCGTGGGAGGACGTCGACAATTTACCAAAGCCACATCAAAGGCGAAAGACAGCGAAGAAGAAATTAAATCACTCCAAGAAAATAAAACCTGGACACTCGAGCAAGCTATTATCGACCTGCAATATTGCTCATCAGAAGAAATGACTGGATGCACTCGCCAAGCCATTGCCATGGCTCGTTAGTTTCCTTCAAGAGAAGCTAAATGTCATGTAGCAATGCATATGCTGTTGAGAAGGGGTGTTGGAAATACAACTGCATACTGATTTGTAATACTGACATTCAGAGATGTAATACCTTTTGAGCGCTAGATGGTGCAATGTTGGTCTCTGCTTGTGCATGTTTTGTCTTTGGTTATATATGTTTCCTGTTTCTGTATACTTGTAATGTCCTGCTGAGCAAGTAAAACTGAAGAGAATTATGGGGTGTAAACTGAAGAGAATTATGGGGTAAGTGGTTTTCCCTATAGTATATGAGTGGAAATCACTTGCCTCATAGTTCTCCTTTTAAGCATTCCTCTGGATCTCAGTGCTCCATCTAAACACATAACCAACAGTCTAAACATTCCAGTGGCGGAACTACCGACGGTGCAGGCGGTGCGGACGCACCAGGGCCTCCGGCCTCTAGGGGTCCCAGCGCCGGATCGATGGCCAGCGGGCCCCCCCATCTCTGCGCCTAGAGTGTCGGATCATCCGTTCATCCGACACTCCCGGCGCCGAGAAAAAAATCTTGCACCAGGGCCCTTTGTTCCTTAGCTCCGCCACTGAAACATTCTATATAAAATGAGAGATCTGGCTGAGGAATGAATTCACAATGCACTTAATACTCGTATAATGGTCGAAGCACAAGCTGAGTGTATCTAAACCTTAAACATTTAGTCCTTAAAAAAATAAATCAATAGTACAGATTATTCAAGACTCATAGAAACGGAACTGCAGGAGCTGCATTAAACGCTGCGCTTAGTGTTAAAATACTCCACCTAGTGTTCGTATCCTTGTGTGTATCGTGAATATTTTTTTATCCTTGATAAAGATAATAATTTAATATAAAAAGTTTGAAGATGGTGATAATCGTGTTGTGATTCCTATTACTTAGAAATTAGTAAAATAAGATGGAATTGTGAAGTAAAATGAAAGACAAACTTTGAACTGTCTTTTGTTGAGTGATTATTTCCATCAATAATCCGTGATTACTTTTATAATATAAAAGTTCATGAATCCGTGTGGTGAGGTCTAATGTGCCTCCCTCCTCCGAAATTATTGTGTAGTAATAAAATGCAATATAGCTGTGGTTGTATTCTTGGTGCATATATAAACCATTTGAAAAATGAAACAATTAAATAAACCACACATCGATAATGTGCCAATGGGTAATCAACTAATCGTAAAGTGAGTTCTGAAAGTGATGATAACACATAGTAGGGGAACAACTCTCTATGAATTCTAGATAGAATGTAGTATTAGAACATTTTCAATTATTATGGTATAATAATACCTTGGTCTCTGATATACCGGAAGATCTGCAAGGCTGGGTGTCCTTCACACTCGAATGCTTTTTAACTCTTCGATCCTGTAAGTGCGATAATTTTTTACTTATAATAAAGGACCTGGCTGCTGCACTTAGATTTGTTTCTCTCTTGTGGTCTCCTTTTTCCCTCTGCTGAATAGCCCGGCTCTGCCCCTAATTACACCTGGTGGGTGTTCGGTGCCGCCCGGCTTCCTGATTGCCCGGGAAGCTGGCTCCATGCCAGCAGAAACACCGGTATCGGCAAGTACTAAAAACAAAATATCGGTACTCGATACTGAAAAAATGGTATCTGTGCATTCTTAATCTGATGCATGATGAGCTTTTATTGAATAACTCAAGGAGATAGGGGACAGGACACCCTGGATGTTGTAGAATGTAATAATAAAAAACACAAAGTACTTGAATCCTTCACACATGGAAGATTTGTAAGACGATCCATCATTCTGTGCCTTCAGTTCCTGACTGTAGAATACTTGAGGATATAGCTAGCTACCAGTCCATTTAATGGACTGTGCTCCAGCAGAGGACAAGTTTCCCTGGCTCCTCATGCATGCTGTAGTTGTCATCATCTTCCTCAAACTTCACTCACTGATCCTAAGTCCCAGGCCTTTTTTTTATTTTTTATTTTTTTATTTTTTCAGCTACAAATGTATACTTGTAGTATAAATATGTAGTTGATGTCTTATTTATATAGTGCTGGTACCCTTCCACATAAAGTACAACTAAGAGCTCCTGCATGACAATCTAAACAAGTACCAAATCCAGTTACTATGTGATGCATAAGCCTCATAAAGGAAACAAACTTTACCTTTACTGACTGTGCCAAATCCTCCTTCATTTGTGTCTCACATGCTTCCCCGTCCCAGACACTGCAGCTCACTTTCCACCTTCCCTGTACTGTTTCTGACTCTAACCACCTGCTTTACCCATTATAGAGGGTTTCCACCATCCCTGTGCTATGTTTCTGACACTAAATGCCTGCTGTGCACATTATCAGGGGCTCCCACCATCCCTAAACTGGGTTCCTGGGTCTGTACACCTGCTCTACCCATTATGAGGGGTTCCCACCAGTGGCGGAACTACCGCCGGTGCAGGCGGTGCCGGGGCACCGAGGCCTGAGGCTGTGGGGGTGCCCAGTGGGGTCTGGTCCGGTCCTGGGCACCCCCACAGGCTCAGTGCGGTCCTGCAATATATGGCAGTGCACGGTCCTGGTGTTCGAACACCGGGGCCCCGCACTGCCGACAGGCTTCACAGTGAGGGGGCGGGTCCTGTGACTTACCTCCCCTCCCGGCCGCGTCCATAGTAACAGGCGGCGGGAGGGGAGGTGAGTCACATAGGCGGAGGCATGTGTGTGTCACAAGCCCCGCCCCCTGCAGTGCACACATAGAAACTCCCTGGCCAGGTAAGTCGAGTGCCGCGTGTGAAGGGGGGGTGCAGGGGGTGGCGGGTAGTAGTAGTTGAGTAGTTATAGTAGAATAGTAGTTGTGTACTGGTATTTCATGCTTTTTCTTGTAATTAGACAAGTGGATTATAATGGGGAATATTACACTGTAATGTTCCCTATTATAATCTATTTCTCTGATTAAATGATTACAGGTAGGCATGTGATCTATCAAAGTTTGAGACTACGTTAGAATGTGTGACAAGTGTGATCTGCTCCCGCGCCCCCCCACCCTCCCCGGCCCCTGTCTTGGGTGGGGGGCCCAAGATAAAATCTTGCACCAGGGCCCTTTGGTTAATAGTTCCGCCACTGGTTCCCACCATCGCTGAGGAAGGTCCCTTGGTCTGCACACCGGCTGTGCCCATTATAAGAGGTTCCCACCATCCGTGAGCTGAGTTCCTGGGTCTGTACACCTGCTGTGCTCATAAGAGGCTCCCACCATCCCTGAGCTGAGTTCCTGGGTCTGTACACCTGCTGTGCTCATTATAAGAGGCTTCCACCATCCCTGAGCTGAGTTCCTGGGTCTGCTGGATTATTTTTTTTTTTTATATTACCCAGAATGTGACAGGAGGAGCTGAGAACACACAAAGGTGGACGTGGACCCCCAAAACTTCACTTTTTAATGTACTGACTTTAAGTAATAATAAATAAGACATTACAGCAATACAAGATCTAAGTGGCTCCAGTGATAGAGCTCATTCAGAGAGCACCGCATGTATGTTACTAAATCAGTGTGCGTCCTGGGGTCCATGGAAATGAATGGTAATGCAAAGGGCTCGTTCACATGTTGCATGTGTTGATACTAAGGATGTGCAATGGTTTTATGCAAGTTCTCAGTTCCTCTGAGTTCCCCCAACATTTGTTGGCAGTTGGCACTCATTATTCGGCATGATGACGCCCATTGCACGGTCTGAATACATTTTCAATGGGCCATAAACACGCTTCAATGGACCAGAAGACACATGGCAATTTTTTTTGCAACATAGGTGTTTCTTGTTGAGTTCATTTATGGACATCATTGGGTGTGCACCCCATAACGCATACAACACATTGTTGAAACAGGCGCAAAACAGTATAAATGAGCCCTAAGACTTGAGGGGGTGTCTCCAAACTATGACCCGTGGGTCACATGTGGCATGCTACAAGATACTGAAGCTTGGCCCAGTCAGAGATTCCTCCATCAACACAGTTTAGCTTAGATGGAGGAATCTGTGGCATTTTTTCCATCTGACCATAAAAAATCGTCAGATAATCTATAGGTGTGGCCAGCTTAACCCCTAATGCTGAATGAGCCAGCCATCTGGGTGTGGAAATGATCTTCCCCCGCTGGGGGTATGAGTGGCTGCTGGGAGGGGTATAAATGGTAACTCTCTCTAACTCACTCATTATGCTGTTTCTCTTGCAGACAGGATGGGCTTAAGGATGAGGAGCTGCTGTAGTTGGTTGTTGCTGCTTGTACTGGTTTATGGGCCAGGGTTTGGCTGTGCTGGAGCTGGAGTCCTAGCTAGACATAGTCGCCAGTCAGATTGGTGGAGGAACTACCAGCAGGCTGTGCCTGCCCAGGTTTCTTCTAGATGGGGTTCCAGGGAGCTTTATCGGGGCAGTAATGAGCTTGGGTTTGGGGCTTCTAGAGCTGGGGCTCAGTGGGGTTTATCTGCTGGACGTCCAGCTGGGATGCTCCGACAGCAACTACAGACCAGAAGTTCCCCTGTCAGTGTCCAGTGTGGAGAGGACACCATGGAAGTCACTGTTCAGAGGGATTTGTATGGAAATGGAAAGCTAGTAAAACCTTCCGATCTGAGCCTGGGAGCCCAACAATGCAAGCCCAGCACCCAAAGTACTGACAACATGGTCATCTTCCAGATTAGCCTCCAGGACTGTGGCAACACTGCTCAGGTAACTTTGCACTTCATATGCTGCAGCCCTCTAGTCAGGCATATCAGAGGGGCCCCCAGAGCAGTCGCCAGTACCTCTGACCCCCACCCCGAAGGCCGCATGGCTCTCCTGAGACCCTGGAGACATTGGGCTGCATATCTGGAGCAACAGAGTATGTAGTTTCATTTTATTCTGCAATGCTTTACAATGTGTTGCTGGGATTTGTAGTTCTCTATAGTTGGTGGTATTCTGCATTGCTGAATAATGTATTGCTAAGATTTCTAGTCTCTCTACAGCTTGGTGTCAGTGGCAGATCTGCCAGGGTCACAGCTGCAACTGGACCCTGGCACTTCACCACTGACTCAAAGCTGTAGAGAGACTAGAAATCACAGCCTGGACAGGAGGAAGAGGACCCTGGAGAACATCACCATTTCCATAAAGGCCCACCATAATACTAAGCACCAGGCACATGATCTTAATCCGGCCCTGAATGGACCCATAATGGCAGCCCTTTGTATTTACCCAGTACAAGGAAACTCTCAACCATTAACTTATAATGTGACAGCTTCACCTGATCTAATGAGACTGGTACTTGATGTGTCTATTCCCTAGCAAGTTTAGCGGTGCGTTGCAAGTTAAAAAAAAAACAAAAAACAATATACAGGGGTACAGGTAATATACAGGGGTACAGGTACTCCTAGAATGAGATCCTAATAGGTTGGACTTGATGGACTAATGTCTTTATTCAACCTCAAATACTATGTAACTATGTAAGGCAAAATGCTGCAAGGAAGTATTTAACATATTTTATTACATTTTTCTATGATTTACCTGTGGGTGATGGTCTTTTTTTTTAGAAAACCTGTAATAAGATATGGGGTCTGCTATTGATCTTCTAAATTATCAGGCTGAGTCACTGACCTGAAGTTTGTGAATCGTAAAAGTTAAATGCTTGCTGAATCCTTATTGGCATGATAGATGACTAGTCTTTGGAAATGGGTAAACAATGGCTGTCACATGTCTGTCAGGTGTAGAGCTGCCAAATCAATGTAACATTCTACTTTTTTGTGCAGATGTCTCAAGATTGGGTGGTCTATACTACCAGCCTGACCTGACCTACAGCCCAACCTCCTCCATTCCAATCATCAGAACCCACCCAGCTGTGGTCCCCATAATGTGCTACTACTATCGGTGAGTCTACACAGGGGGGACAGGGCAGATCTAACAGCATTGCATCCTTACTAGTCAATCGTTAAAGCTAAAAACATTTGGCAAGAGTAGGGGGACCGTTAAAATTCCCAGTCAGGTTTCTGCTATTTATCCTATTCTAGAGATGTATTTTCTCACCCTGTTCTAAACACAAGTGAGTACTTTCCAATTGGGTATATTCCCCCATGTCACTGGAACAAGTGCCCATTAGGCGACAACTTGGGTTAATGGCTTTCCTTCACTCAGGCCTACTGAGTTGCTACTAATCCTATCAAGAACACTGATGGAAAATGTTACCTGGCAGAGGTTCTAACATTCTCTACTTTCACAAACTTGTGGCCCATCTTAAGTTTGGGGTAGTATCATGAATTTGGGTTGCCACAATGATGCACATTATAATACTGTCTTAAAACCACCCTGGGGAAAATATTGTAGGTGCTATGCATACTCAAATTTTGAGGTACAGGCTTCAGATATTTTCAGAGTCCTTGTCGGGCATCAAGAATGGAGCCAGTGTAGACTGGCATCATTTATGCTAGCTTCAAGTCAATTAACTGATGGAAAATGCAGTTCTGACCAGGCATGCAACCAATTAACAATGACAACTACCATACTAATAAACCATTTTCCCTTCAAGATGGAACTTGCCTTTAAAAATGTAGATCTGTGAAATTCCATGATTATAGTTCATGGCTTATTACCGACTCTTCTCTGTATAGGCATGGTAATGTGAGCAGCAAGGCCATTAAGCCAACATGGCTTCCATTCAGCACCACAGTGTCCTCAGAAGAGAAGCTGTCCTTTTCTTTGGACTTGATGGCTGGTGAGTTGAATGAGGCAGATGGAAGGGGGGATGGGAGTCAGTTGGAACTTAATTTTTGTTATGTTTGCAGAGGACTGGAGCGGCCCTAGAAGTTCTTCAGTGTTTCAGTTTGGAGATATTCTCTACATAGAGGCCTCTGTGGACACTCGGAACCATATTGGCCTGCTCCTGTTTATTGACCGATGTGTGGCCACCATATCTCCTGATGCCAGCTCTTCTCCTAATTATGACATCATTACAGACCATGGGTATGTTCTTCTAATATCTAGGGAAAGGGTCACTGCTCTAATAAAACCCCGGGGCTCTAATGACCCCACTTGCTAACTGACCATCTTCTACAGGTGTCTGGTAGATGGAATGCAAGAGGACTCATCTGCAGCCTTCATGACTCCAAGGGTCAAACCAGACAACCTACGGTTCACAGTAGATGTCTTCCGATTCCTAGGAAACGATGCGTCTCTGGTGAGGATTTGAGTTGTTGCAACAGATGGGGTGCCTTGTAAGAACTGATAACCTATTAAAATCTTTCCCTTCAGATCTACATAACCTGTTACCTGAGAGCTGCTGCAGCCACACAGATCCCAGATTCCATGAACAAGGCCTGTTCTTATAGCAAAGCCACAAATGGGTAAGACTGTATTAAAATGGTGGTATTGTGCCCATTTGGTTACTGTAATTTACTGCATTAAGACTAACTGTGTAATGGAGTAACCTTCTGCACAAGAACTGTCTGAAACCTTGACTTTGTGAACCAATAACATGATTGTTCCTAATTGATAAGTATTCTGGTGCACAGGTAGCATCTGCTCCCAGGGTCTTTTCCTATACCATGTTCACTGCTTACATGGCTGTCTAGGAAGAAACTCCTACCCAGTCACACCTGAGGGCCTCTGGTACCAGCATATTCAGTATTAAGGATATGGTGCCTTGCATCTGCTCCATGGTCCCAAACGGGACACCTTTGGTGTTGGCTACATATTCCCACCAGGGTGATCAGAGCTCCCCTGTAAAACAATAAGCTGTGCTGACAACTGATATCCTGTCACCAGGTAGAACATTAAAGCCCAATTGGTTTTGTTCTTCCTGCACATAACACCATTCAGTCCACACTGCAATGCTTGAATGCCTGTCTTAATAGAAGGGATGTAGCCTCAGATGTGCTTCTTTGCACATGTCACTGTACCTCTAGTGCACTATTTCATCTACTAGGAATGAGCTAAATTCTTTCACTTTGATGACAAAGTAAAATGTCAAGACACTTTACAGCTGTGTGGCTTTTAACAATGTAATGTACGTTCTTAAAATCTAGGCTGTGATACTGACAATTGCTTGTCTTCCCTAGCTGGTCTGCGGTTGAGGGCCCCAGCAATATCTGCCAGTGTTGTCAGACAACAGGTACCTGCAGCAACCCTAATCTGATGACAGGAGGGACAAGATTTGGAAGACCGAGAGCATTTGGCAAGAGGGAAGCCTTGGATGGTGAGGTTTTTATAATCTACAGCTGCCATTTTAAACGTAATAGCTGTAGGTGATGTCTAGATATAAACAGGGGCGTATCTGCCGCGAGGCAAATAAGGCGTTTGCCTGGAGCGGCAGATTCTCTGAGAGCGGCAATTGCTGTGCTTCTCTCCCCTTTATTCATCAAGGGAAGAGGAACCGGAGGCTATAGTAGCGGCGGGGACGAGGCCGGCCGGTTGCGGCGGTGTCCAGCAGGCAGCGGCGCTTTGAGGGGACGAGGACGGCGGGTTGCGGCGGTGTCCAGCAGGCAGCGGCGCTTTGAGAGGGGGGGGGGTAGTGTTTTGCCTAGGGCAGCAGCATTTGTAAATAAACCGCTGGATATGAAGACTCCACAGATGAACAGATCTGTGGTCAAGGGTAGCAATATGGGGGCAAAGCTAGCAACCCAATGGCTGCTTTGTGCTCCCAGTGGAAAGTCTCTTGCCCCATAATCTGACTAGTAATGGAGATCTGAAAATGCTTGTGTACTAAACCTGAAAGGGGGTTGTAACATCCCCCTTCCTTATTCTGTTCAACTCTTGGTTCATGTGACTAGGTCTATAATGGGTTTTAACTTTCTACACACTTAAGTAAATGCTGACTTGACTAATCTCTTAATTGCATGGAAGTGTACAGAAATCTGTATGTGCTTCTTGACCCGCAATGTTGTTCTCCTACAGAACCCCACATAGAAGGTGAAAGTGTCACCATTCTAGGACCTCTGCTTGTGACTGGGCCAAAACAAAGCAATGTTGCTCTTCAAATGACAAAGGAAGACTCTGCCCCTATGGAGCTCTGGGTGTTGGTGGCTGTCGGATGTCTAAGTCTTCTTGTTGTCCTTGTATGTGCAGTGTCAATTGGGAAGTCTCTGAAAAAGCCATATAATGTGATGTTTGTGGAAAAATAAAAACAATTCTCATTTAAGCTGGTCTCTTTTTTTTTATTTGTAGATATCATGACTTACTTGCTGTTTATCCTTTAACATTGTTGTTTACTGAGGTATCTGTACATGGGGGTTTATTGAGGCATCTGTAT